GGCTTCCTAACCCGGCCCCTGAGTCGTGCCCCTCCTGCGTCGGCCCAGGCGCACGCTGGCAGACATCATCATGGAGAAGATCACAGAGAAGCAGACGGAGGTGGAGACGGCGCTGTCGGAGATCTCGGGATGCCCCATGCCCCAGCTCGATCCCCGTGTCCTGGAGGTGTACAGGGGTGTCAGAGAGGTAGGGCTAACACCTCTCTGCTCTGGGGTGCGGCAGACACCACGCTGAGCCCCGCAGCCGCCGCCCCTGTCCCCATCCTCGTGCTGCAGAGGCCGTTGTGTGTATTACCTGCGGCTTTTGGGGGATCGGGCACTGAAAAAGTTTCTGAGTGACAATCCGAGCGCTGTGCTCGGGATGAGCCTGGGACGGTACTTTCTTACCAGAAATGCCAAGGGAGGGGACAACTTTCTCATGGTCCTGAGACGAATCCCGCAGCCCTGCTGTCAGTGCCCATATGTCACTGCCCGGCCTGTATCCCTGTCTTTAAGGTGCTGTCCAAATACAGGAGTGGGAAACTCCCCAAGGCATTTAAAATCATCCCCGCCTTGTCTAACTGGGAGCAGATCCTCTACATCACAGAGCCAGAGACGTGGACAGCAGCTGCCATGTACCAAGCCACCAGGTAAGATTGTCCCTGGGAGCTGCTGGTGTGGGAATTCTTGCTTTTCCTTTCCATAACTGGAACCAGATTTACAGAATACCAGCCTCTGCCCCACTTGGCCTCCTTTCTTCATGCCTCACTTTGGGCTTTCCTTTTCCCAGGATATTTTCATCCAACCTGAAAGAGAGGATGGCCCAGCGGTTCTACAACCTGGTGCTGCTGCCGCGGGTCAGGGATGACATCGCCGAGTACAAGCGCCTCAACTTCCACCTCTACATGGCCCTGAAGAAGGCTCTGTTCAAGCCGGCAGCCTGGTTCAAAGGTAGGGACTCTCTGAGGGCTGCTGTTCCTACCGGCATCATCTCGCCATCCGGGAGGCTCCGCGGGGACATGTGTTCATGGAATCACGGAATGGTGTGGGTGGGAAGGGACCATAAAGCCCCCCCAACCCCCCCCCCTGCCATGGGTAGGGACACCTT